CCTGTGAAGCGCCGCGGTGCTGGTGGAAATGCGGGGCACGGTGTCGGCGCCGCCCCGGCTCCGCTTAGCCTCTCCGGGAACAGGCAAACACTGAGTACAATCTGGGGGGCCTACATCAAACAGGCAGACAAATGCGAACTATACGTGGGGCAAAAAGGACGTTTTCCTGCGCCTGTTCACCTGGTCCCTTGTCCCAGGCCTCCAGTGTGAGGGCTCCACGGGCCTCCGGCCCCGCCCAGCCGCTGAGGGCGGCGCGTGCACGGCCCTGGCCCTGGCTCGTCGCCCCGACGGGAGCCCGGCACACACTCCTCTTCCCACGGGACAGACTGGGTCTCGGGCGGCCCGCAGTAGGGACCTGACTTCTGTTCTCCGAACGTCGCGGACTGCCAGAGGCAGGAGTCCCCGGTGGCGCAGGGGTTCCGCTCCGGGTCCCCCGCGCAACCTTCCTGGTTGGGGAGTCCTCGTCTGTAAACCGGGGACATTCGAATGAATATATGTACAACCCTGGGAACGGGGCCTGGCAGCAGCTCTAAGGGTGTATTAATGTATTAATACTTAATGTATTAACCAGCCCTTGACCATTGCGCCTTTGAGGTGTTTCCAGGGAGCGCCTGTTGGAGGCAGCACCGCCAGAAGTCGCCGCGGGCATTCTGCAGGTGCACGGGGGGCGGGGGGGCGTCCGTGGGACGGCTCCTGGGTTTGCTCCTGGTGGTGGGAACCGTGCAACCCGAAATGGGAGGGGGTGGCTCTGAAGAACTGGAATTTCCTTCATGGAGAATAGGATATGTAAATTTTACATGTTTTATTTAATGTTATTTTTTGAAAACTTCCACAACAAAATTTACCATTTTCACCATTTTCACAGGTACAGGGCAGTGGCATTAGGTGCATTCACAGTGTTGTGCAATCGTGGCCACCATCCGTCTCCAGAACTTTCTCATCTTCCCAAAGTGAACCGCTCCCTATTCAACACTAACCTTCCATTCCCTGTCCCCCAGCCCCTGGCTACCACCGATCTGTTTTCTGTCTCTACAAATTTGTCTGCTCTCGTGGAATCACACAGTATTTGCTTTTTTGCGTCTGGCTTAGTTCCCTTAGCAGAATAACCTCAAGTTTGGTCCATGTTGTAGCAGGTGTCAGATCTTCATTCCTTCTATGGCTGAATAACATTCGTGGGATGGACAGACCCCATTTTGTGGATCCCCTGATGTGTCACGGCCCCGCGCCTGTTTGCACCTCTGACTGCTGGGTGGCACTGCCGGGAACACGGTGGACGGACACCTCTCCCGGTTCCCCTTTCCGTTCCCCTGGGGACACAGGACACAGCAGCAGTGTGATTGCTGGGTCACCTGGTGATTGTCACCATTGTTTCTGGGACGTATGCCCTTTAAACGTTATAGTCTCTCCCTCTGTGAAGGACGGTGCCTTTGCCTCCGCCCCGTGTGGCCAAATCAGTCTCTTTTGCTTTGGCGTCTTGATACGGGAAAATGTTTTTACTAATTTGAGTTTCTCACAAGCTGTATTAAATATTTTTTTAAAGTCTCACCAGAGTCCTGTGTATCTCTCCTTCTGTTAACTGTGTGCAATGTTTGTATCGTGGCCCATAAGTCTCTGGGCTGAAGGCCTTCTACTGATCTGGAGAAGAGCATTACAGTTTGGAAATCAGTTATTTGTCATGTGTTGCAAATATTTTTTCCCAGGGTGTTATTTGTATTTCAATTTTTGGTTATTTTAACGCTTCTGTATGGGCAATTTTATTCGTCTTCTGTGGCTTCTGGGTTTTCTGTCTTACATAGAAAGTGCTCCCATTTGGCTGAATTGGAGAATTCATGGATGTTTCCAGGTGATGTGAGCGGAGCCTCAGGCCCTCCCCAGCTCCTCATGCAGGGAAGACCCCTCCCATGCTCCCCACAAAGGACTGAGACGCCTTCTCTGAAGCAGTGGCGAGGGGCTTGGACTCGCAGACCCCAGGCAGGGACTTGGGTGTGTGTGAGCAAGGAAGGCTAAATGAAATAGAAGAACATTCTTTCTATATCAGGTAAGTTGTTTTTATAAACTAGCTTTTTATGTATCTGAGTAATAGGCTCTCTTCCCCCGACTCTTTCCAAACAGAATTGCCAGAGCCTTCTCTGGAGAAAACCCCAGCCCAGACCTCAAGATGCTGACATTTGGTAAAGAGCGTTGAACATTTTATTTTGTAATGTTTCTTTTCACCGAAGAAGTGGAGATCCAACTTGATTTCCCAACACCATCTTTTCTCTGTTGATCAAAATGCTTTTACCATATATTAAAGCCCTTTACAAATCAATTCCACAAATACTTACTGGCATTCTTTTATATGCCTGCAACTATTCCAGGCACCTGTGGTGGAGACCGTTGATGAAGAGTAAACAGAATATGTAGATTACCTGGTGTCTAGGAGTTGTGTGTGTGTGTGGGGGGGAACAAAAGCTGAGGTAGTACAGGGGGAGGGGTGGAGGAGAGTGGGGTGCCACTGTCAATGTCAGGGAGGCCTCATGGAGGCAGTGACCTGTGAGCAGGCAGGGGAACTGGCCTGCATGTCTGGGAGGTCAGGACAGCCCATTCAAAGGCCCTGGGGTTGGAGTGTACCATGTGTTGGAGTCACTGCTGGGGGCCCATCTGGTGGAGCTGGTGGTGGTGGGTGGGTGAAAGGGTTGCAGAGAAAATTAGGAGATGAAGTCGGAGTAAAAGGAGGACCTAGATTGTGTAGGGCCTTGAAAGCCATTTTAAGAATGTTGGGTTTTACTTGAGGTGAGGTGAGGAGCATCTGGAGTGCCTTCAACAGTGGCGTACCACGATCGCAGTGGAGAGAGATCGCCCACACTGCTTGCAGTGGGGTAGAGCGGGAGCAGGGAGACCAGATGGACGATGGCGTCTTAAGAGTGGAGGGCAAGAAATGGTCAGAGTATTCTAATGGATTGGATGTGGGGGTGAGAGAGAGAAGAATCAAGGGTCCAGAATCGGGTGCAAGTCGCTGGGAAAATGGAATTACCAACAACTGATGTGGGAAGATAGTGGGTTTGGGGGGATGGGGTAGAGCTGGTGGAATCAGCTTTGCACATGAGATGGTCATCCGACTTCTGGGGGGAGATGCTTCCTGGGCAGTGGGACACTCAGGCCTGTGGTCCAGGAGGGTGAGTGGCCCCTCTGCACAGAGATGGCATGTGAAAGCCCAGTGTAGGGAGGGTCTGCAGGGCAGAGGCCCAAGGATGGAGCCTGGGGGCTACCCCCAGGAAAAAGGTCAGGGATCAAGAAGGGACCAGCTCGCCAGCTGAGGGGAAGCCCTGGAATGTTCTGCCAGTCAAGGGAAAGCATCAGGGAGGAAGGGACTGATGGGATTAGGGGCTGCCCAGACCTGTGAGGGGACCTGAGAACTGCCTGCTGGATCCACAAGGAGGGGTTACAACCCAGATGGGGTCTCCGTGTGCCCCCCTCGGTCCCATCACCCTGCTGTCATGCTCGAGCCTTAGAGCGTGTGCCAGTGCATGCCCCACTTCATTATACTTCATCCCTGCACTTTCAGACTTTTCCTGGCCGCTCCTCAGTGGTTACTTTTCCATATGAATTTTGGAATCAGATGATCTAGTTTTCTTATTAGGATCCTCTTAAGCCTAATTTATATCTCTGTAACCGTGTTTCTATCCAGGACATCTTTCCAGAAATAAGAACCACCAGCTAGAGCAATAATTCTCGATTGGAGAGTTGGGGGGAGGTCCCCGAGACATTCTGGAGAGTCTCATCACTTCTGGGCCGGTATGTAGTGGCAAGAGGCCAGGGATGCTGCTCACCCCCCTAGAGCGCACATGACACCCCGCCGGAGACTCACCTGCTCCACGCTGTTCTAGCGGTGCTGGAGAAACTCAGCCTCACGGGCCCGCACGCTTCCTGCCAAGGGCCCTCCTCTGCATTTTCCTGCTGAGTGCTTGGATGGTTTCATGGGACTCAACCTCCTCAACTGCTCTAGAAGAGCTTTAAGGATTGATGATACATAGTGTTGTGGAGATTTTTTATTCTCTTCAGCAGCCCAGGCTCTGACCCCTTCCTGCATGTAGGAGACCGCTGGTGGGGTCCAAGGTTCCAGTAATGTCATGGAGGCAAAACAAGCCAGACACCTGCTTTTCCACTTCGCTTCCAGCTGAAGCACAGGTCGGGGACCTGCGACCCATCAGGTGCCCGTGCAGGGACCAGGGCTTCGGAGCAGGGCACAGGGCCCGTCTCCCTGCTGGAGGTGGTGGGCCTTTCAGGACCAAGCTACAAAGGCTCTAAGTGGCAGGTTTTGGTGGTGACAGATTTGGGCACTGTTCTTGACTGCCTGACACGCAGCCTTGTCTGCCCCCCAATTCTGTGGGCTTTTAAATATCCTTTCGATCAATTCCCTTTTACTTTTGACATCGCGCCCAATTCTGTTGCTTGCCACCAAGAATCTGGGCTGGTACACATGGATTCATCATACCGTGAGAAACAGCGGAGGCCGAGATGTTCGACAGTGATCGAACTCAGCTTTTCTACAGAAAAGTTGTGTGGAACTTTCTGTATCAAAGTATCCAAGTTTCCTGCCCTAAACCCCAAGTACAATAAGGGATGATTATGATGTCAGGACTGGGGAAAGGGAAGGCTTACACTGAGGGGTAGGATGTGGACTCATGGGAAAGACTGTGGAACCGGATTTTAGAAGGCTTTAACACATACATCTTTATCTTGCCTTAATGTTGGTTCTTCAGGAGTAAACTGGCTTGGTGATGGGTAGAACCGGACCAGTGTCTGAGAGTCTGTGGGGTCCCCGTGAACAGCAGGGTCACGCAGAGGGAGGAGCCCATGCCCACCCATGAGGAACGGGGCCGAGCGGGGAAGGGCTAACGGCGCACGTGTAACAGAGCAGGACTGCTCACAAGGGGCTCCTTCAGACACGCGGCTTCCGTAACTGGGGAGTGAAGGCAAGCTGCTTCTGAGAAAGGTTGTCATAGTTAATGAATACAAAATTAGGTGTAATGTACGTTTTTATTTATAATAAAAAAAATAAATTACAAATTTAAAAACGCTAACAGATTCCACACATCACAAAGTGCAGGTGACAGGCTTTGCATTAACAGGTGGTCAATGAATGCATAAATGCCTTTTCTCCCCGGTTTTTGGCAGCTCTGTCCTCTGATCACCTCTTGTCGGGACAGTGAATTTACATATTCCCACAGCTTCTCCAGCACGCTTTATCAAAAACTTCATTATTAGGACTTAACGTTTCTCTCCACTTCACAGCTTGCTATTGGTAATAGATCATTTTAGAGCTGTTATCAGATCTCTGAAAACCTCTATCAGGTTCATCCCAGACCCAAGCTGGAGGTTTTGGAAGGACTCCCCCCACTCCCCTCAGGGTTCCTCCTCAGGGGGCACAGGCCACACTGCTGTTGGGCCCTGGCCCCTGCAGGGGGCACTAGCGTTCTTGGAAGCTTGCCCTCCGCAGTAACTTCACTAGACCCTGAAGTAATGCTGAACCAACTCCGAGTCCTCTCAGCCGGATTCCAGTGCACAAGGCCACCCTGCACGGCCCAGTGGGAAGGGGGACAGTAGGAGTGCACAGAAACACCTTTGCCAGTGGCAGTTAAATTCTCTTTATGAATTTTACAAAAACAGATGATCATGGGAGCACGGTGCTGGGGCCTCTCCCAGGGCCTCTGAGGGGCCAGGCAGTGGAAGGCCCTGAAGCTCAAGGCTCCTTAGTGTCCTGATAAATCTGCGCATGGTCTTAGCAACCCCATTCCGCCGTGCTGGGTCTGCCAATGACCTAAGGGCAGGTCCAGTGCGGGCTGGTGGGAGAGACAGGAGAACCTGATGTCCTTTTCCTTCTTGGAGGCTGTCAAGAAAGTCTCAACTTGGCAGCTTTCTTGAACTTGGGAGAGAAAACCCAGAACCCCACTGAAGCCAACCCCGTTGTTAGCCATCTTTCCGGGTTTTCTGTGTCTGCGACCATCAGGTGTCCTCCTTGTTGAAGCTGCTCGTCATTGACTATTCTGCTGGTGGAAGCTGGAGGCATCTGCCCGGCATAGACACTATAGTGGAAAGAAACCCAGTCCAGTTAACCCCACACACAGCCTCTGGGTCTCAGCCTCACTGAGACCTCAGCGCTCCAAGCTCTCCAACAGGGGCACAAGGCTCGGCAGCCTGTGGGGCCTACACGTGCATCCTCACCAGAGCCCATTCCTAGCTCGAACCCTACTTCTTTGAACTTCAAAAAACCGAAAGAACCCACAGGTTCAGACTTTCCCCCACTCCAAGGCAACGGGATGAGGAAGTGGAATTTACTAGATACTTCTCAGCCTGCTCCTGAGTTCCTCTGCCAGGACTGGGTCTCTTCTGGGGTGGCTGGGGGCGGGCTTGCTCAGGAGCAGAAGGAGTACAAGGTACTTGTCTTCCTGGGCTGTCAAGCAGACAGCGTCGCTTCCTCCCTTCCACAGTGCACCCCCCTCCATCTGCACTTAGGGAGACTCCCTCCTCCTCAGAGAAGTGAATGGGATGATGCAGTAACCCTTCTAAAATGGTCGGCATGTGCACCACTGAAGGCCAGGGCCTGCCGGTGAGCCTTCCCGGCTGCCCCTCCAGTTTGGGGAACATTCCTGCTTCCCTTTGTTTCCCCCTGTGGAGCACTTCTCCCCTTGTCAGTGACTTTCTCAAGGAGGGAAAGGCAAGGGGAGAAAGTAAAATCAGTAAACAAACCAGGGCCTGCTCCAGACACAAGAACTGCCTGGCTGCCAGGAGTTCACCGGGGTGAAGACTAAAGCTCTGCCGATCAGATAGTCTGGTCAGGTGCTGACTCAAACGCCCAAGGTTTGGGAGAATTTTGAGGCTTTGTATAGGAATTGGAGATACTACAAACAGGCTGAGGTAAGGTCAGGACAGGAAGGACCCTTTCAGAAATGCAGCTTCAACAGTCTGAGGTGGGTAACAGTCTTGCTGAGAATGAATTTCCAGTGGAAGCACACCGACAACAGGAGTCTGATTCCTGACGGGCCCTCACGTTAGGGATTATTCAGGCTACCAGACGACAGATCCCCTTCTTCATGCCCACAGAGCTGTTCACAGCTTCCATGGCAAACAACACAGAAGAGATGTCCTTGACTCCAAATGAAGCCTACTACTACACGTTTTGATGAAGGCTTTTTATATGAAAGTAATAATGGTGGTAGTTGTGTGGACAGTATTTTATCAGAACATTGCTCAAACTGCAACATTTCTCAAAGGGCAGGCTCAGATCAAACAATTCTTGAATTTTCCAGATCTTTAGGTGGATCCATATACCAAAACAGTAATGCTCCTAACACCACAACCTTTAATCCAACAAAATGTTACTCATACCTCAAACAGGAGCCCAAACTGAAGGTGATTCAGAGATCACTAACACATAAATCAAAGTGGACATGAAGTCCTGACTGACTCAACCACCAGAATGCACAGAGAAAAGCACATAGTCAATGCATATTAAGAATAAACCTGGAAGGGGAAAATTTTTTTAATTGATGTGAAATAAATATTGGGGTTAACCGATTCTTTTATTAGAGATTTCTAATTCCCAGGGCACCTGGGTGGCTCAGTTGGTTAAGCATCTGACTTAGGTCATGATCTCAGGGTCCTGGGATCAGGCCCTCATCAGGCTCCCTGCTCAGCAGGGAGTCTGCTTCTCTCTCTCCCTCTGCCCCTGCCCCCCACTTGTGCTCTCTTTCTCAAATAAATAAAATCTTAAAAAAAAAAATTTTGAATTCCCACTTCGGTTAACTAGACAACTAATCCGTAATCTCTCTATACTCTCCCCTTTCAGCCATCCTTGAGGTCACACAAGCCCCTCTGGTGGCAATGTTTAGCAAACAAAGCAAATACAGTTCCTACTGGAACTGGCTTTATCCCTCTGGCAGGCAGAGCCGTCCTCCACCGCTGAGCAGTGGTCCCGGGCACTACCACTTTGCTGTCGGTCTCGAGCAGGCTCTGTTTCCCTTCTGAGGTGCCTGAGAGACACCTCGATGAAGAATTTCTTAGGGAAGCAAGACAGTGTGGCTTTATCTCAAATCCCTGCGGGTCAAAAGAAACACCAATAATAATAACATGACTTCTGAAAAGAGAGACCTGTGGAAAAGGACTAAGTTACATTCTAAATCGATCAGTGGTTCATGACCCATCTCTTGGTCCAGAGACTTTGAACCACTCAAATAATAGTTGTGTATCTTGGTCTGATACGAGGGAAAATGGAAACAAAAATCTGTTCTCCTATCTAAGCCTTTTCTTTAGTGATTCTCTGGCAGCTGGGCTGAGCAGGTAGGGAATGCTCAAGGCACAATCCAGTCATGAACAATAAACTGGATGGAGTTTGGGTTAAGAACCGGTCTTCTCACTTCATAAAATATGTGCTAGCAGATCTTGCCAAGATGTCTGGCTCATTCTCACTACTCATTCCACGAAGAAATGGTCTCATCATCACATCACGAGGCCGCGGGGAGCCTGGTCCCTGCACGGCAGCTCTGCAGTCAACGGGCCGTGCCGGCTGAGCACAGCTCCGCGAGGAGCTCTCTGGCCAGTTTTCTCGACCTCGGGGCTTCCATGCAGAGATGATCCCATCTGTACAAGGTCTGGTCAAGCAAGCCAGTCATCTCGTGGGTTAACTCATCAGTTGGAGCCATCTGCAATGAGGACAGAGGAGAAAGAAAACTAAAACACTCACCAGACAGATTCATCTCTTGGTCCAGCAAACCAACCGTACCCATCCTTCCCCGAAAAGCAGCTGCATTCTTATTAGCTTCGGAAGGGCTCTTGTTTTGTTTGCAAGGTGACTGACAAAGCAAGTCTGTTCTCAGAGGCTGGCCATCCAGTCAGCAGAGTCATTTCCTAACGATCACCCTCTTCGGACAGAATGGCCCGGAACGCACAAAGGCTACAAATAAGCACCACGTTTCCTGGAATGCCAGTCACAAGCCAGGCGACTATCTGCCGTGGGTAGCGAAGGCAAGTGAACGTGCTGTGGCCTGTCTGCAAAAAGCTCACACTAATATGAGAGCTGGAAACTGCTGGAAGGAAAACGCCACGTGTTCTCACACAAACAGCTTTATAAATGGCATTCTTGAGCTAGCAACCTGGACCCACTTGTTTTTTAATAGACATCTAAGGTTTTAACACCCGATTCTCAAGGGAAGCAGGAAAGGCAGAACTGTTAGCTCTGCTAAATACAGCCTCAAGGCGTTCTCAGTTGTTGGCGCCCAAGTATTTTCCTAAGAATTTCAGCTCAGCAAAAAGGCAAGGGTGAGAATCTCACAACTGAATTGTGTGAAGAATTTACTGTGACTTTTTTAGACACGAGCACATTAAGCAGCCCTGATGTTGAGAGTAATCTATATACTCACTTTGTGTGGGATAGTTTCTATAGACCCCTCAGTCAAATCTTTAATCAGCCATAGCAGCCACAGGTCAGCTTCCCATCCATCTCCACACTGGGCCTTCTGGTGGGAGGCCGCCCGCCCTGGTGCCCTCGGACAATCCCACTGCCCTGGAAACGCTTCACTCCAGGGCCACCACCTCTGACCGGCAGCTCAGGCAGATGCTCCGGCAGCACAGGATGTGCGGGGCACACGGCGACAGCATGAGGTCTCTTCAACTCTGGCTCAGAGGGGCTCTGCCAAGCTGTCGGGGGCAGGCCACCAGACTAGGTGGGGTTCACTGTGCTCTCGGTATCCATATTACCACTGTGTGGTTTTTACTCAGAATCACAGATGCTGTGGATGACCTCTGTCAGATACAGTTCTGTCTTTGTGGATGGATGAAACTGCGTGAGCCTCCCTGGGACACCTTCAAAGAGTTAATCTACTTCCTAGACCCCAAGTGCAGGGAGACCCCAAGTGCAGGGAGAGGGGCTCCCCTGGGCTGTTAGTCTTAACAGCTGACCGTGGAGGCCACCTGTCCTGACCCTGTGTCATCTTCACAAGCCAGCTCAACCTCCACACTGTTCCACTCACGGTCTCTGGTCACATGCCCACCTCCCTGCAGCCCAGGTAGGCAATCTGCATTGTTGGCAGAGATGCATCTGTATAGAGATGAAATTCATTTGAGTTCAACAACTATAGAACTGAACTCTCTATTTCAGATGCTAGCTAACTTACCTGGAACTGCTGTGGACCAGCAACAAAGATGACAGGAGAGAGAAACATGAACTCAGGACAGGACAGGGGGCAGGACAGAGTGAGCCTCAAGGGCAGGAGGAATCCAATCCCAACACCACCCGAGCTGCTTCTGACTCATCCTGGTCAAAGAGGCACATAGGGAGGGAGCAGGGCAAGAAACCTAGTAGCCAGAGGAGCAGAACACCAGGCGTGAAGGGGCAGGGGTTCCGAAGAAGGAGTTCAATGGAAATTCTCAGAAGCCCAAGGCGGGCAGAAGCTGATTACGGGGGCCTGTGCAGGAGCCCAGGGGAGCAGTTTGTAGGGAGTATCCTACAGCAGAAGCTGGAGTATGGGACAATGTGGGAGGTCACAGCCTTTAGACAGGGCACAGACATGCAGCCCCTGTGGTCTGCAGCCTCGAGTGTGCACAGCTCCCCAAAGCTGATGCTGGGATAAGAAGGATAAGACCAGGACCCTGGCTCAGGAGCTGCTCTGCTCGGGCCTTAGTTCACATCAAAGCTGGGTCAGGGATGGAGTCCTGGAAGAGAAGAGAAAGGCTTCTTCCTGCTGGAAGAGAAAGGCCATCCCACCAAAGCCAACACTTCTACCATTTGGCCACCACCTGCTCCCAGGCCAAGGAGACCTGACCCAGGACTCCTTCCACAGTGCTCTGAGTGAGAGGAAGTGATGAGATAGGGGGGCTGAGGAGAAACCCATGAGAGGCTGGCACTGTGCAGAGGACTTCTTCCATCTGTCCTGTCTGTAGCTGCATCAGCCAGGATGCCTTCAACCTGTCATGAGGCCACTGCAGGAAGCCTTCCAGTTAGGAAGTCTGGTATGTTACTAAAAATAGTTTCAAAACACCCACAAGGACAGTGCCAAGGAGGCTCTCTAGACCATGATGCATGGGCTCCAAGGTGCCCAGACAACTACATCTGCTAAAAAGCCAATGTGTAAAGAGAATCATTGGTGTTTTCCCTTCAATGAATTTTTTTGCAGCTGAGCAGACTTATGATATTTTATGAAGATGTACTGGAGTTTTCCACCTTCCCTTAGCCTCAGGTGCAGGCCAGAAGCATTAATGTATGGCTAGGACTGGACTGTTTTGTGGGAATGGGCTGCCCAGGAGAGGCAGCAAACTTGAATTCGTGACATACTCTAGGCTCCTTATTCACAGCACCTCTATGGGAGAGACGTAAGGATGTTCCATTCTGAATGCGGACTGTTTCCCCAGAATGGTGGATATGTGATTGGAATAACCGGAGGAGCATTCTCTGGGCCACTTTCTTCCTCTCTTAGCCCACGGGCAGGGCCAGGCTGGTCATCATCTCTGTGGCCTGTGAAACAAGGCAAACTCTGCAGGGGCCTGATTCTCCATTCCCAAGGTAACAGCATAGGAGATGAGCGGAACAAGAACTCGCTGGGGAGAAGTAAGGCAAAGGCTCCGGGAGGAAGAGCCTGAGTCCCAGCTGCCAGGCTTGAGAAGGCTCCCTCAGGGCAGAAGCTCCATCCACAGGAGGGCATGGTCAGAGATTAGGTGAAAAAAATACCACCAACACTTTCATGACTCAAGAGTGCCTGCTGTTGACTTAGCATGTTGAGAAATAATTGGAATATCCTATTAGTTTCAGGCTTACATCATAGTGATTTGATATTTTTATATGTTATGAAATGATCCCTGTCATGTCTAGTTATGTCATCACACAAAGTTATAATAATATTGACTATATTCCCTATGCTATACATTACATCCTCAAGGACTTATTTTTGTTCATTCGTTTTGTTTTTTAGATTCCGTATGTAAGTGAAGTCATATATTTGTTTTTCTCTGCATGACTTATTTCACTTAGTATATACCCTCTAAGTCCATCCATGTTGTCGCTAATGGTAAGATCTCATTCTTTTCTATGGCTGTGTTATATTCCATTGTGTATATATACCACCTCTTCTTTATCCATTCATCTATTGATGGACACTTAGATTGTTTCCATATCTTATTGTAAATAATGCTGCAATAAACACAGGGGAGCAAATATCTTTTCAAATTAGTGTTTTCGTTTTCTTTAGGTAAATACCCAGTTGAAATTTTTGAGGAACCTTCATATATTTTCCACAGTAGCTGCATCAATTTACATTCCCACCAACAATGCATGAGAGATCCTTTTTCTCCACATCCTTGCCAACACTTGTTTTTCTTGTCTTTGTTTCTAGCCATTCAGACAGGTGTAAGGTGATATCTCATTGTGATTTGGATTTGCATTTCCCTGATGATCAGTAATATTGAACATCTTTTCTTCATGTCTGTTGGCCATCTGTGCACCTTCTTTGGAAAAATGTCTGTTCAGGTCCTCTACCTATTTTATTATTTTTTTTAAGATTTTACTTATTTGACAGAGAGAGACGGTGAGAGAGGGAACACAAGCAGGGGGAGTGGGGGAGGGAGAAGCAGACCCCCTGCTGAGCAGGGAGCCTGATGCGGGGCTCAATCCCAGGATGCTGGTCATGACCTGAGCTGAAGGCAGACGCTTAACGACTGAGCCACCCAGGCGTCCCTGGGTCCTCTACCTATTTTAAATGGATTATTTGTACTTTTGGTGTAGAGTTGTATAAGTTCTTTATATATTTTGGGTATTAGCCTTTTGGCAGATCATTTGCAAATATCTTCTATTTAGTACACTGTCTTTTCATTTTGTTGATGGTTTCCTTTGCTATGAAAGCTTTTTATTTTGGTGTAATCCCAATAGTTTATTTTTGCTTTTGTTTCCCTTGTCTGAGGAGACCTATCTAGGAAAATGTTGCTAAGGCTGATGTCAAAGGGATTATTTCCTATGTTTTCTTCTAGGAGTTTTATGGTTTCAGGTCTCACATTTAGGTCTTTAATCCACTTTTGAGTTTATTTTTGTGTATGGTGTAAGACAGTGGTACAGTTTCATTCTTTTGCATGTGGCTGTCCAGTTTTCCCAGCACCATTTATTGAAGAGACCCCATTGTAGATTCTTGCCTCTTTTGTCATAAATTGACCATATGCATGGGTTTATTTCTGGGTTCTCTATTCTGTTCCACTGATCTGTCTGTTTTTGTGCCAGTACCATAGTGTTTTCATTATTATAGCTTTGTAGTATATCTTGAAATATGGGACCCAAATACCTCCAGCTTTGCTCTTTCTCAAGATTGCTTTGGCTATTCAGAGTCTTTTGTGGTTCCATACAAATTTTCAGTTTATTTGTTGTAGTTCTATGAAAAATACTATTGGTATTTTGACAGGGATAGCACTGAATCTAGAGATTGCTTTGGATAATATGGATATTCGCCCAGTCCATGAGTGTGGTATATCTCTCCATTTGTGTCATCTTCAATTTCTTTCATCAATGTTTTATAGTTTTCAGAGTATAGTCTTTCACCTCCTTGGTTAGTTTATTCCTAGGTATTTAATCTTTTTGGTGCTACTGTAAATGGAATTGTCTTCCTAATTTCTTTCTGCTACTCTCTTGTTAGTGTACAGAAAGCAACAGATTTCTGCATATTAATTT